ATGTCAATCCTTTGCCATATTTCTCTTTTGTAATTCCTAGTAGGAATAGTTCTGGTTTCAAATCTATGTTTTGGTCTAGCATCTCTTCCAACCATGTCTTTATCTGACGCCAAAATTCCTGATGCTTTTGTACATAACCACCACATGTGATAAAAACATCCTAACGCTGAGTTACATTTCTAATGTACTCAACTCTGTCATCTGATGTTTCTGTTTGGAATTTTGCAGTAAGCCAAGGATTGAACTTGACACTAAATATCTCAGTCAAATTCTCTTTACCGTCACTATAATCACATCACACTATCATTCAAACTCTTTTAGAGCAATTCTTTTAAGAACAGCCCTCTGATTCATTTTTTTAAAAAACTCTTCATCCTTATTAGCATTTTGTTACTTTGGTAATTGAGCATTTACGCCTAAGACTCAAAAGCAAAAAGGAAGTGTATGGTTTCCATTGCATTGAATGAAAAGGTAGAGTAGAAGGAGTGGAAAGTCATTGTTCACATGAGACAAACAATAGCTGGCAATATTCCTCTTTTTTTTTCCAACTCTTTCCTTAAAGAGGAACTCTTTTTCCAACTCTTTCCTTAAGTGGAAAGCATACTGAATCAGTCAAACTGGACTGATCTCTATGTGATAACATGTTCAGAAAACAAGTGCAATCAGACTGTTCTGATGACTTTTTATCTAAATGCACTAGTCCTGCCTTTCCCACCTGACACGTTCAACCCAAGAACATTAGAAAAGTTGATTTGGCAAGAACACGGCAAACATTAGAGATGGCAGCCAGCTACAGCTTGTTCAAATGTTTGTGCTAAGAATTACCTCTTCTTAAAGGAGTTTTCTGCTCTTATGTTTGCTGAATTAACTGCCATCTGGAAGCCTTTTCAATATTTTAGTAGATCTTTTTCATCTACAACAAAAATGTTCCATTAAATACCTTGCTGAAGTTATGGCTTAGTTCAACCTGATGGTTGCTTGTGCTTTGAAATTCACGGAATGAATAGAATTAATTGCTGATAATTCCAGTTAATCTAATCATGTTCATGGGATAGGTTTCCTATATATTATGCACAAAAGCAGTGGAAATGTCATGCTTTCTCAGGACTATTTTTATTTTTTTCTTTAGATTTTTGGAGCTCTCGCTTCGGAACCTTTTAAAGTGAGCGATGGGTTTTATGGCACGGGAGAAACCTTTCTTTTTACATTCTGCCCAGAATTTGAGGTAAGCGCTTAGAAAACAATGCCTAAATTATTTAGATAATATATGTGAGATTACATTATTTATGAGTCTAACCGTTTTATGTTGCAATGAAATTATTTAAATTCCAGTTAAAAATAAGCAGAATCACATTTTGAATAGTGAGGCCTATTGTTTAGAATTTAGATTGTAGTTGCGATGAAGGGTTACCTTACATTTCCCATGAATTAATTTTCCAGTCTAAAGCTATTACAAACAAACATACATAGCCACAAAACCAATGAAGAATGATGATGAACACTACAAAACAATTAGTGGTAAACGTTCATAAACCCTGTTCTTATCAGAACATCTGAGTTTCTATAAATTATTAAAGAGGAATTAGGATTATTTCATGATTCACTGAATTTAAGGGACTAGATGTAATGTGATAGATGGAATTTTAATATATTGAAACTATCACAGTGAATAAGGGCATTCTTTATTCTTTATTGTAGCATTTTAATAAAGTTTCTGGATTTTTCTGAAGCAGAAATTGATAATGATGTCTTACGATGTTTGTTGTTCTTTTAGCAATAATTTCCTTTCATCTGTGTTTGTGTGTCTTCATTTGTTTTCCTAACCATTAGGTCTTCAAGTGGACTGGAGACAATATGTTTTTTCTTAAAGGAGACATGGATGCCTTGGCTTTTGGTGGTGGAGGGTTAGTATCATCTTTGTTCATTCCGATAAAGTGTTCTGATGCAACGTTAGTGTGCTGTTATACTCTGACTTCCTTATATATAGATTCCAAGTATCTCCATGCCTACAGAATTTGCTTTATGGCAGCCTCCTGCCAATGTTAGCATTTTTTTCCTGAACAAGTCTGAAAGGCCATCTTTTCTTTTATAAAATATTTATTTATATCCCAGCTTTATTATTTTTTAGAAATAATTTAAGGCAGAGAACATACCAATATTCCTTTCGTCTCCTATTTTTTCCACAAAGAATAACCCTGTAAGGTAAGTTGGGCTGAGAGAGGGGACTGGCCCAAAATCACCCAGCACATCATGCCCAAGTGGGGGGGGACTAGAACTCACTGTCTCCTAGTTTCTAAGTCATCACTGTCACCATTAGTCCAGACTGGCTCTTACTTGGTTTAGTCTATCTTACTTGGTTATTAGCAAAGGTAAAAGCAATTTCTTTTATGGGTTAGAACCCAGTTTTTAACGCAAAGCCAAAATGTACTTTTCTTGGCCCAATTTCTGTTCAGCCTGCAGTCTCGTGACTCAAATGTGTTACTACTGACTAATCACAAAGAAGATAAAAGTTCTTGATTTTATTCATTTATTATAACATTTCCATGGCAGACCCAGTTTGCATTTGTGCATGAGTCTTTACCCTCTACTCAATATAGTGTTGATGCCATGCTAATATGAGACTGCTGGATCCGGGCTGAACAAGTCTAGGTAACCCTAGATGCCAGGAAAGAGTTTGGGTTTTGTTTATCGCCTCCTTGCCATTTTATCATTTATATCAAATATATTGAAATAAAGATGTCATCATCTCAACTTCTAACAAAATTCTTAAAGGTGATCACTGTTTCTACCTTGACCAATTAATTGAAATGCAATCTGAAGCTTTCACATTAGGGAAAGAATTTTGAAGGGAAAGTTGTTGATTTAAAATTGGACCTACATTTGAATACAATAATGGGAAGAAAACTATTTTTAATATCTGACAAACTAATTCTCTTCACACTGCAGGGGTGAATTTGCTTTATGGCTTGATGGAGATCTCTATCACGGAAGAAGTCACTCTTGTAAAACCTTTGGGAATCACACACTTTCTAAGAAAGAAGACTTCATTATACAAGATATTGAAATTTGGGGCTTCGAATAAGTATAAACTGTTAATTACTACAAAAGTTTGTCCCAAACCTGATACTGATCAATGCAGCTCAGAAAGCCCTTAAAGCAATATAATGTAGCTTGTTTTGCAATGCCTTTCTACATTTTCTGCATGACCATCAACATGTCTTTCATATTGGAGTGCAACTGACTGTTCAGATTTTTTTTTCATTTTTGAAAGTTACAAAGCTTTCAAATCGTAATTGATTATTTCTTTATGAGAACCAGATTTTTATCATCATGTCATTCACATATCCTTTTGTTTGTTCTCATTCTCACAATTCAGAAATTTCCTTTACTTCTGTTTACCTATTTCACTGAAACAACATTTAAGCAACATAAAATCATAATACTGTATGTACTTGGCCTAAGTAATATGGGGAAGAGATGCTCATAATTTACCAATAGTGATCAGTCTTGGCTGTTTATTTCAATCAAATATCACCACATCTAGTCATATGTCATAAATTGGTATCTGTTGTATTTTACTGTTGAAACATAGCTGCCCTATTGATTGTATTGAAGCATTTTGCACATGCCATTAAATGATCTGCAGGCTTGGGACAAATGCTGGGCAAGGATTCAGCTACGTGATCAAGATATATAATATAGCAATGAGCAACTGGAAAAGTAAGCATAATGCAGTGAGTAATTCATAGTACATATAATACCTTCTTATTGCTAAAGCTATGAAACAGATGCATTTTTTCCAAACAGCATATAATATGCATCAAATATATGTGTGTGTGTGTGTATCTACATATGCACACACATACATAAGACACCACTCTGTTTTATAGTTCTTCTGTTGTAGCCTTGTAGCACATCATCTCCAAGAATTGCTCCTGTCCAAAACAGAAAACAAAATAGGTGTGGTGTTTTTCTCTTCTTTTGAGTGGATCTGTGTTGTAAAACTGCAATTTGCACCAGCTCTGATGCAATGGGGTAACGTACTCTAGATAGACATCATAACTCAGTAGATGTGTTAATATGCAAAATTTACTGTTCTGTGACCTCAAAGCAAAAAGAAAAAAAAAAGAAAAAAAAAGAAAAGTTATAGTAAATCAGTAGCTCTTGTCCACTTTTGTAGAAAAACTAAAAAGCCATTGTGGCAATAACAACAGTTGTTTCAAAGCTTATATTCTATGTTTATGCAAAAGAAAAATAATTTAAAAATGCTGTTAACTGTGACAGTGAATGACTTTGTGCTGAAATCTCAGCTATTCTATTTCAAATGAATATTGTACATATTAACTTGTACATTAATGTTTAAAAGTAGTTTTTGTTATTTTAGAGGGGGGGAAGTATTGATTGACGGGTTGCTTCTAGCACTTTAAATTATTCTAGCAATGGAATAAAAAGCCAAATGGCTTAGCTCAAATAATTAGCTATAGTTGTATAGAATGTTACTAATATAAATTGTTTCAGAATTATCTGGGGAATGCTTACTGCTGTGGTAATGGAAAAGAGAATATTTTATCCTATAATATGCTCATGCTTTATATTGCTAAAAAAAAAAATACACAGCATTGTTTTCTGTCTCAATGTATAGCTCTTTACTCCTATTAGTAGAATATATGTAGATTCAATGTTTACAGACAACAAAAGGAAGTGTAAATAAATTAAAATAGCTTTTTCCCCCCCTTTGGTCTTCCACAGCAGTGTTATTGTCTTTGTGGGTTCACTAACTAAACAATCCTGTGATGGATTTAAAATACTATAAGATAATAGTGATATAAAGCAAATAAATCTAAATTCATGTAATTAAACTTGAGTTGGGCTTTATTTAGACATACGACCATTTTGTAATTAACACTCAGGTTGAAAGTATTGAATCATAGCCAAAATACTAGTAGTGTTGAACCATGTTCCTGCTAAAAATTTCTGATAAAGAATTGGATGTTTTAAAATATTTTTACAAAGCTGTTTATTAATTGGTAATACACTTTGACATGTGGTGTGGGAGTTGCTGTTAAAATGTTCGTTACAGCTATATAGAAATTTCAATATACAATACAAACTGCCATTTGCCAAGAAAGGCAGCCCATAATTTTTGTCCCAACTTTATCCATATCGCCTCCCTTCCAATAAGAAAAATCAAAGTGAGCTACTGCAGCTATAAAATAGAATTAGAATCCTTAAGCTTCAGGAAACACTAAAAATGCTACTAACATTGATTCAGAAAAAATAATAGGTTATTGCCTTGGCATTAAAAAAACAAAATATTTTCCTCAAAAAAGCTATTAAATTTATTTAATTCTTTTTCATTTATTCCATTGTATCAACTGAATTTGCAGTGCATTTCACTTCTTGTTAATATAAATAAGATTTTGAAATGGATCACATTCCCTATATTTGACAGAAACATTTAATATTTACAGCTTAATTTAGACCAATCAATGGTATAAACTGCTCAGTAAACTTTCATAATCCAAATCTTGAAAAATAATTAGCAGACATAAAAACTTAAAATAATATCCTTGTCCTGGGAAAGCAACGTTTTTTTTTAAATTACATTTTTCCAAACTTAATTATTTTATCTAATTAGTAAGGTAAATAAGATTTTATTTTTATCTGAGAATAAAAGCTTGATTTACCTTACCAATGGATGCAGGAAAGTTACCAATGGATGCAGGAAAGTTTATTGATTAAATGTAAAATGTTATTTGCTTATAACAAACTTCCTTTATAATGCTATTAATACTTCACAGCACTTAAGATTTTTGCACGTGATTTCTTGCAAGAATCATTTTTGATATGTGACTGAAAAATCATTTTAAAGCTATACATACATGCATGCACATATACTGATATTTGCGTAGTAACTTTTAGAATAAATTTACCATCGTGTTGACACAAAATCATATATTTTTTCTTCTGTAAGAAGATGCAGTATCTTTCACTTTGAAAGACAACATACCATATCAAAATGCAATTCTTTTCAACAGCTGATAGCATTAAGAAAACAATATGGTTCATCTAACACTGGGACCCCCAGTTGGATTTCAAGGATACCTCACTTAATATCTCTAAGGTTCTGTTTCCTTCAACTAGTAACTTTTTACATTTTTAAATTAATTTTTGAAAATGAGAAGGCATAATGTAATGCAAAATGGTATTCTTCCAGCATCATTATCATTAAGCTATCTTAATAGATAAAAATAATAGGCAATTATAACTCAGTAGCCTGCTCAGAAAAAAAAAAAGTACTGTTCATTAAAGAGGGGATATAAGTTATATTCTGTTTGAGCAGGTGCTAGAGATGGTGAGAAATGTGGTAAATTAATATGTGGGTAGATTCCCATGGCAGCCATTTTCAAGAATAGGCAATCTCTGAACACCCACAAGAAGTTTGGAAATTATCCAATGTCCCCACTAACTCAAAAAGATTGGGATCCCCTTATCTAAAAGCTACTTAACACATCTTTTAAGTAATGGCAATCAGATTTATTATAAAGTATTATTGTTATAACATCACATGTCCATGTACCTCACCACGTTTTAAAGCAGATCTAATGAGCTCATATTGTCAAAGTAAATTTTTGAAATGTTGGGATTTAACATTAATTAAAATCACTTTATGTAGCCTTAATGTAAGGCTGGCAGTATCTAAGCAACAGTTGGCAAGGGGCTGTCCAAAACAGTCACAGGAACTGTGGAGTTCACAAATTTTACTTCACAAATTTCCCCAAAAGCAATTTACTATCCTAAACAAGGCCACTGATTTAACAATCCAACAGTACAAAATAGGAAAAGTATGAAAATTTCCTCATTTTTCCTGGAAGGAAAAGTAGGGCTGAACTTGGGCTTGTATATTTGGGGGGGGGGGTGTTTGTTGGGTTCATTTTTTTATCTCTCTCCATGGGTGTCTCAAAGTTTTTATCTGTCATTTTATCTGCTGGAGGTCCTCTGTAAAAAAAAAAAAATGAACTGGAATTGCTTAAAAGAGGGAGCAACAACATTAACAGCCTGGGTTGCCTCATGCTCCCAATGCTAACCAGATCTCTGAAAAATCCCCAAGTGTTTAATAAACATCTGATCCATAAGGCAGATGAAGTGAACCATCTTCTATATCATCTTCATTCTTTATATAGAAATCTTACCAAACATAGTTAGATACTACCAGTACTGGCAGAACAATCTATGTACTTAATAAACAATAACATAGAGATGGGATAATATGGAGATACTATTGTTAAATATTAATAGATAAGAAGTTCTGAGTACCAATGAAAGCTTGTCTGTCGATCTTTCTGATAAACTTTTTGATAAAACATTCTGAATACAAGGATGCCCTTTGGTTTATCCTGTGAGGAAAAAGACCTTATTCTAACAAAGTTATTAGAACGGCATCATCCCGACCTTGCCACAACATTTCTCCCTCAAAGTCTAGCATTCCATGTTTTCTGGCCCTCAGGAGTATTCCAACCACTTTATCTGAAATTTGAACGTATCTGTCAAAGAGATCACCAAAAGTAACTTGGATCTTGCCATCATGTCGTGGCCGAGCCATTGTTCTGATGATGAAACACATGTCTCTCATCTCCCGGTGGATGTGGCCCTCTGCTCTCTTGGCCCGTTCGGCTGTCTTTGTGCCTTCTTTAGGATAACCATAGCCCTCATCTCCTTTACGCAAACGGGTGGCCATAGCGAGCTCATAGTCAAACTCCTCACTGAAAGGGTTGAGTTTCTGTACGGTCACATGTTCATCAGCCCATTCTTGCCATCGCCCCTTTAGATTGTAGACAGGACTGTAATTCTTAGACAGTTTGAGATTTTTATTCTTGCTGCAGAAAAAGAAAAAGAAGGGGAAAAAACAGCTGCTGAATAGGATGAGGCTTCGGTGAAATATTTTGGTTGAGTTCATTAATCTGATTTAGACCACAAACCACTAGGTGGCATGTTATCACTAATTCTAAATCACTTTATTTCCTTTGACTGTTTGCTGTCTTACCTGAAAATAAAAGCTTCTATTTTGGATTAGACCCATTCATGTTAATTTATATAAGGGAAAATAACACCACTCTGATTAATTACATCTGCATGGCATGATTTGCTAAAAGAACTGAAGGAAATAAGGACAGATGGATTCCCTGGTCAATCTAGTCCGGCTGGCTGTTTTCACAGTGGCCAACCAAATGCACAAGGAAGCCCACTGGTCTCCCAGCAGATGCCTTCACAAGGACTTCCACAGTCACCAGGTAGGAATTGATTCCCATAATCTCCATAAAATGGTCTATTTCTTTTTTGAAGACAGGCTGGTAGCCATCACCACATTTCATGGTAGTGAATTCGAAAGCTAAATTACCCCTTTTAATTTTAGATAAAAATCCTTTTATTTTTCCTGATTCTTCCAGGATTCAATTTCATTGGGTGATTTCAGTTTATTTTTGTCCACCTTACTCCATACATAATTTTATACACCTTGATCATGCAGGTTGTTGTTTTTTTAATTAAAATGCCCAAATGTCACATTGCTCATGTGGAAACTGTTCCAGACTTTGAACTTCTTAATTGTCTTCCTTTGGATCTTCCCTAATTCCACTATAATCTTTTTGAGCTATGGCATCTAGAAGGATAAAGAGCTCTTTTAAACGTTAAAACACCTCTTTTGGAAAGCCCAGCACAGCTTCTTCAAAGCCTTTTCCTAGAAATGCTTCGGTGTGCATATAGTTCTTTCTTCACTTCTCTGACTATCCTGTTGGAAGAGTCTTCAAAGAAGGTGACAAATTAAAATTTCTGGCAGCAAACTACAAGAGATATTAAGAGTCATGAATGCTTTAAAATAATTAGGAACAAATTGGCTTAGAGCTTACACTGCTATTTATGAAAGCAAACTATTAGGGGTTTTTCTAGACTTCAGCATGTGCCTAAAAAAAGATGTGTGTGCTTTAAAAGTTATATTAATTTTAATGAGTCCATTGCTTACAAGGAGCAGAAGCCAAAAACTGAAAAAGCATGGGACTAAAATTGAAGCTTTACTGGTAAGCAAAAGCAGCAGTGGAAAAAAAAAAGTCTTGCATATGTCTGCCTATACTTTTATTTTATTTTATTTTATTTTTAGTCTTAGATTTTTGGGGGACATTAAACTTGAATTCTTAGATCTTATTCAACACAGTCTGTTGAGTTTTAAGAAACTCACTTCCCAGAGAGCCTCTAGCCAAGATTGACAAGAAACTCATACTTCCTCTTCTCTTGATTCCCATCCTCTGATTCTCATTGGAAGTGAACAGTAGTTGTGTTTATGGACTACTTAGAAATCACTACGATATTCTCGATCTATTACTTTTGCAGAATGTACTTTTTAGGATTGTTGGGTAGTATGAAGGTTCTATGGTATCTAGGTACAACAGGCTAATCACATGGAGCTTAGTTATTCAGCTGATTACCTAACTAAATTAGGGCTCTTCTATATTTGATCTTATCCACAATTCTCTGCCTGAGCTGTTGGCATCCCCAAACTTAACAGCAAATTGGGATGTGTTGCTATTGCACCTCCTTATATTCCACTTGTCCATGAAGGTTTGTGGGATCAAATATTGGGGACCAAATATTAGCTTTAAGCAAGTTAGTCATCTATATGCTTGTCATGCTGGGGCTTACCATCCTATCTGGAAACTAATTGTCAAACAAATTCCAAAAGAATATCATTAACCAGGAATTTACTTATAAGCCCAGTTCAGGACACTAGTCATTCCTATACTTCTTTAGATCTTCAAGGACAATAACACACTTTAAATATATTTTATTATTATTATTATTTATTATTCATATTTCTATGCTGCCCACTCTCCAAGGACTCTGGGCAGCTTACACCAAAGACAGTATACTAAGTAGCATATTGCCCCCAGCAATCTGGGTCCTCATTTTACCCACCTCAGAAGGATGGAAGGCTTGAGCCGGTGAGATTTGATCCGCTGATCTGCTGAACTAGCAGTCAGCTGAAGTAGCTGCAGTACTGCACCCTAACCACTGCGCCACCTTGACTCTTTTTGAATAAGTAACCAGGACGGTTGTCCACTCACTAAAAATCACAAGTCAATTTATTAGCCTTTTTAGACAGCTTGGCATGCTAACAAATGTCTTTTGTTCTGGATACTTTGGGAAATCTGCCTCCAAAGCATTTAAATTACTTCTTGGCCCTTGGTACAAGTACAGAAATATTTATCTCTCTCTGAACATAGCCAAGTTTGTTTCCCCATCAATATGGCATATTCAGAGGCAGAAGATGAAGAGCACAGGGTTGGTGGGATCAAGCTGACCCCAGTCTCCTCCTCTCCTGACTACAGGTCTCCATAGAGCATGTGTATGTCTGACATATCATCTGTCCCTTTCTGCTATCAGTTATTGTATCAGTGAGATAGGTGGGAAGGAAGGAAGGAAGGAAGGAAGGAAGGAAGGAAGGAAGGAAGGAAGGAAGGAAGGAAGGAAAAGGGAGGAAGAAAGAAAGGAAAGGGAAGAAGGAAAGGAAGGTAGGAGAAAAAAGGAAGGAAGGAAAGGAAAGAAAAAGAGGGAGGAAGGAAGGAGAAAGGGAAAGGAAGGAAAGAAAGAAAAAGAAAATTTCAATTAGTACTTTAATCCATTCAAGTGAAACACTATCGTCCCTTTCCATTTTACCTGCCTTTACAGTGGGCTAAATTAGCACTGCTCTGTTTCCCAGAAGAATTCTTTACTGTTATAATTCTTGCCTTTCCTATCTGAAACCACAAGCATTTGACTCGAATAGAAGGATTCAGATATACTATAGCATGTAGTTAGTCTTTTGTTAGTGTGTGTACATAGTAACTTTCTTCATCAAGTCTCATTCAAATTCCTAAATGAAAATATGATTTGGGGGGGTTTAAAAGGAGGAAATGACTTCTGTGAAATTATTCTGGTAGATTTCTGATATTTAATTGTAGGATAGTAAGTGGATATTTAGAATGTCCTACCATTTGCAACTGATTCTCTGCATGATGTCTGCATTTCCTGGCTCCTATGCTTCAATTAAATCTTGATTAAATTAAAACAAGTAACCTATTACGGATGTCAAAAAGTCAAGATGGCAGTGACTGAAGCCTCCCTCCACCCCCTTTTTAAAAAAACGTGTATCATATGGGTGTTGTATGGAAAATGGACAGGATGGGTGTAGATGCATCCTGCAGGCATAGGTGATTTTAAAGAGATATGTCCAATGGAAATGTGTACTGGAAGACCACACAAGCTCTGACATCACCATCACCTTCAACAATAAGCTCAAAAACACCACCAAAAGAAATTAAAAACAACCACAATACTCAAGCAATCACAGAATAAAAAGCTGTTTATTATTAGCACTTTCATTCAAAGCTGAAAGGATTATATTTCAATCTGTTTGCTTTGGGTGGGGGGCAAATGCAGTTGAGTGACCAGCATGCATAGACAGCTGGGGAGCAAAGAAATGAATAGCCCTCATCTCTTTCCAAGCAACTCAAAAACGTTTCCAACCACTTGGAAGTAACTCCAAGAATTACAGATTAAATATAGTTCAACCCGCAGAAGGTGACCAGTGAGAGTCAGAAAATTACTGGTACTCAATAAAACTTGTATAGCTTTTTTAAAGTTACAATTCATATGCTAATTCACCTTTCTTCAGAACTACTTCCTTTGTTAGATGCTTACAATAGATAGAGAGACAGAGAGAGAATAGATAGATGAATAGGTAGCTTTTATGGAAGTTTAATAACTGAAATAATATATTTGAATTCTACAACTATTTCAAAACAAAAGGCTATGCAGAAAACAGCTTTTAAAGCAGTAAGATAACAAAACGGCTCAAAACATGTCTTCAAACTCAACCACTTAGAGTTCAGAGTGTAGGCTATTTTTTTTTTCTTGTATTATACTTCTACTTCAGGGGTGTCAAACTGACGGCCCATGGGCCAGATGCATCACGTGTAGGCCACACCCACCCCAGCTCCGCAAAGGGAAAAAATTTCATGAAACGTCATGTGACAGCAACATGACTCCGTGAGTTTGACACTCTTGTTCTACTTGGATCTCCAGAGGAAAATATTCTATTTCTATAAACCACCTTCCTGTTTCAAAGGTGGTTTACAAGATCTATGCTCAGGAAAAGACAAATAACAAATACATATTAAAAAGAGCAAAAGATAAATTCATTAACTCTGGACAAACAATATATATCTACATATATATAGATATACGTTTGTGTGTGTACTTGTTTTCTGGAGAGCCCCAGTAAGGTTTGACCTCATTAAAAGGTTAGAAAGGTTCATACGATCTGGCGAATGATTACTTACATCACTGCAATGGTTGCATTTTATTTTTAGTGAGTAATTCATGCTAACCTGGACCAGTTTCATGTTAACTTGAATGAACCTTTGCTAGCACTGATATATGCTCATCTCTTTAGAAATATTTGTGAACCATCAATGAAGCCATTGGACTTTGGGGAAACTTTCAACTGAAAGGGCTCCCAATGAAACTGCTCTCAAACACAGCAGGAGATTGTCTCTGTCTTGCTATAGTTGCTCCTTATTTACTGGAATGCAGATCATCACCTGTTAACATATAGAAGACCCTCACATTCATCAGGCTTTTTTGTTTGACCATTACCTTGCTAGATAGATTGAATGAGAGAGCAGATTGGCCATGGTTATTGACATGATGTCTTACACACTAATGTGTGAAAACCATTGGTGGCTCTGATAGTTTTGCACCATTTTGAACACATAGGATTGGCCCTATAGGATGCAATTATATACACCAAACTGGTAAGCTGTGCAAGAAAGTGAATTGGGTTATTCTTGCAGTCAAACACAAAAAGTCAGGAGTATTCTTGAATGAGTTAGTAGATAAGTAGCTATTGATGAAATGGAATATCCTTTGGAATCAGAATTTGCTAAGCAGCGCAGTAGTTTAAGTGAGTTGTGCCCAATTTTACAACCTTTTTTTTTTTTACCATAGTTAAGCAAATCACTGCAGTTGTTAAGTGAATCATGCAGTCATTTAGCAAATCCAGCGTCTCCCATTGACTTTGCTTGTTGGAAGTTCACTGTGAAGCACAGAAATTGCAATCACACGACCCCGGGATGCTGCATACATGCCGGTTTCCAACTGCTCAAATTTCGATCACATGACTGGATACTACAGGAGTCATAAATGGGAGGATCAGTTGTAAGTCACTTTTTTCAGTTTTGTTGTAACTGCCAGCATTCACTAAACAAATGGATATAAGTCAAGGACTACCTGTACATGAACAACAGTTGATTCAACTAAACAACTGAAGGAATGCTTGGCCCATGGGCTCTTTAACAGCATACGGCTGTCCCAGCCTTCATCCTTCTGCCCTGCAGATGTGTCCAAAACCAATAGACATTGGGAAAATTGGCAAATAAAAACAGCCAGAAGCTCTAAAACGAATGTTACCTAAAATGCCTAACGTTTTCCTCTGCCATCATTCTAAAACAAGGGTTAAATGGTCTTTTTGCAGAAACTATCCTATTCCAAATATAACTTCCTCAGTTTTTCTTTTTAAAAAATTGGATCTAATTAAATATTAATACAAGCAACTTTTAGATTGTTGCATGTTTTGGAAAATATAAGGCATTTTTCATATTTAAAGTTCGACCTCTTCCTCTATCTTTCCATTTTCGCTTTCTGCTCCTATGTTTTCATTTTGGCTTCAGATGAAAATGGCTACTTGGAGATGATTGAATGTTGCTGCTATGGAGAAACAGTTCATCATCCCTTCCATGGCCTATTTTTACATGTCGGCTCATCATTTGGAACCCCCTCCAAACCCTTCCTCCATTAGTGTTCCAAAACATGACCGAGGTGGCACTGAATAGATAAAATTGCATACTGATGCAGGAAGTCCTCAACTTACAACCATTCATTTAGTGACCATTCGATGTTACAACAGCACTGAAAAAAAGTAACTTATGATTGTTTTTCACAGTTATGACCATTGCAACATCCCCATGCTCCCGTGATCAAAATTTGGATGTTTGGCAACTGGCTCCTGTTTAAGATGGTTGGAGTGTCCTGTAGTCGAGTGATCATCATTTGCAACTTTCTGACAAGCAAAGTCAATGGGGAAGCCAGGTTCTCTTTACAACTGTTTACAGCTTAACAACTGCAGTGATTCACATATCAAATGTGGCATGAAATGTCATAAAATGGAGCAAAATTCATTTAACAACTATCTCAGCAATGGAAATGTAAGTCAAGGACTATCTCTGGTTGTGCTGACTTCAGAAAGCATTAATACATGCTAGACAAAAGCATTTTCCTATAACAAGGCAATTTTGGAGAATACAGTAATTACTTACTGCGAGGCCATGGGATGTTTTATCCTCACCACACTCTTTATTTCTTGGATATTATGATCCCTGTCTAATCCATCCTCTGTGTCTTCACCATAGCCACTGTCTTCTGTATCCAAGCTGTTGCTGCGATAATCCTGTAGTTCTTCTTGTTCTAAAAGTTTCCATCCCTTTGTCATCTCTGATACCAGATTAGAGCACTTTCTCCTTGTAGGAGACATTTTATTACTAAGGATCTGATCAATATTTGTAGGGTCATTGATGATCTTTCCTGTCTCCGCAAATTCATCTTGTTCATATTTGTTGCTGAGAAGACCAATGTCACTACTTCTTTCAGAGACTGACCTTATTACACTTTTGGTAACTTCTTTACTTTTAATATTAAATTTCTCCAGAGTTTCTGTTGACTCACTAGGACTTTGTTCTCCATCTTTGTTTAAAACTTGCTGTACTGAGGGAAACTGTATCTCAGTTTTTGACTGATCTGTCTTGAAAGTTGGTGAATGTTTCGGAGGTGTCCACTCACTTGGGTCATTTGGTGATTTGTCTTCATTAGGTACCCATCCACTAGGTTCCTGAGCTTGCTTGGTGTTGTGTTCAGTTGCCCATTTCTGCCAACCTTTCGCCAAGCTGATAACCAAGCTAGTCATTCGGATTTTTTTGATGGCCCTCTTGGCAGGTGTGGTACACTGGTGTTCTTCTGGTGGCATGGCTTTGTCTATGGTTTCCCAACGTTTGCTTGTGTTAAAACTCCGTTCAGATGGTCTTGTAGCAAATAACAGGCAGGGAAGAATTGTGAAGATTTAAATAGATAGAAGGGTGGGCTGCATGAAGCTAGAAAGTATGTGAAACATTTCTCACATAGAAAGAGTCACCTTATTCTGCCAGTGATCTTTTTTTAAAAGGCACAGCTTGTGTTTCATCACAGCAGTTGGATACTTGATATGGTAAATATGAGTGACATAGTTCGCTCATGTCTCAGATGCAGCTGTGATGGAAATTAACAGAGGCATCTTTAGTTTGACAGTGGAACATGCTCATGCTTTGCCTTACTAAAGAAATGGCCCTTGCCTAATTAGATAGTTTCTCTTTGCTGACTCCAGAAAAGCAAATGAGGAATCACAATTCAAGAGGCTTTTATTTTTAACTAACCTACTTTGTGGCTTTGTAACAATGCCAGTTTACTAAGACCATAAAAGGTGCCTCGGATGCAGCTCTTCCAATTGGCTGTGCTTCATTAAAGGAAAGAAACCATATTAGTGCATTAACAAAGTGCTTTTCACTATTTTTCCTGTATTGGTGAAACCCCATTCCGCCCAGAAATCTAGGCTAACTCACCACAGCCAACTCACCGTAGCCATCTCATCATGGCCATCTTGCTACAGCCAACTCGCCGTGGCCAGGTCACCATGGGACAATCCACGCAAGATAACTCAACGCAATAAATGTTATCCAGCACTGTTATCCGGCACTACATTATTTCCATTTTTGTCAATGGAAATAATGTTGAAGAAACAGTGGCACGTTATCCCACATGGAATTATCCACTGAAAGTTGTCCTGTGGTAAGTTGGCCCCATGGTGACTTGGCCAGAGTGAGATGGCCGTGGCGAATTAACCACAGTAAATTGTCCCATTCTGCCCAGGAGTGGCTTCCAGGAGCTCAATAAAAGTATCAAAAGGGGGGTTCTGCAAGGACAGATTCTGGAACCGTAAAGACTCATCAAAACTAATTTGGTCCTTCATTAATTTCAAGTTATATTACAAGTGCAGAAAATCTTAATTTCTATTTTTCCCTTTTCTTAGCAGCTACATGGAGGATTAACTAAGCATCTGGCAACAATTTGGGGAAAAACAATTGTTTTTCCTCTGTCTTTATTGATAGCTAGGTAGGACTTCCCATGCAAAACCCCCGAAACAATCTTATGTTGTGCTGCTAAATTCCCCTGTATTTATTGGTTGCTAGGTAGATTTTTTTTTCCCATAGGCAAACCTTGAAACCATTCCATGTTGCTGTGCGAATGTTCATGAGGAATTCAAAAGACCAATCTAGTTTGATGGTAAGCCAGCTATTTGTTGTATGGCACCCATTTGGCATCTGCAACAAACGAGAGAACTATAAGGCATTAACTAGTACTGAGATTAGGAATAGAGGATCTGTGCTTACAAAATGGCAATAGCATTCCCACATTTCAACTCACTCAAGTCATTTGCTGTTATCTGGTCATTGCCAATAAAAAAGTTGCTTGCCTGTGATTAATATTTGTCCGGTAACAGAGGAAAGAACATTGCTCACTTTTTCCAGCCTACATGCTTGAGATTTTGTAAGAGAAAGGCAATCATTGGTAAGTGATATAAACAGAGTGCTAAAATGGATCATATGAATCACTGGCTGTGCTAGAATTTCCCTGTCATCATATCAGATGTCAATTTTACATCAGACAAGAATAACCAATATTGAAGCCCTTCATTTCATTTAGTTTATAGACTGAACCTAGAAAGGGAAAAAGGGGTAATCAGTAAACTTAAAATAGTCAAAGTTAGTCAGTCAATCCCCAGGAACCATAGTAATAAACTACCATATATTCACCAGAACATATAAGTCAGGCTGGTTGAAAATTTAAAAGCAGACACACATACAATTATCAGAGGAAACAAAATTGGTGGAAGATACAGGTAGATTTAGGATCATAATGGAACATGGAAAGTTTCCATTGCTCAGTAAGACAGTTGTTAAGTGAGTTGTGTCCCATTTTATGACCTCTTTTGGCACAGTTGTTAATGAATCACTGCAGTTGTTAAGTGAATCAGGTGGTTGTTAAATGAATCAGACTTCCCCCATTGACTTCACTTGTCGGAAGCCAGCTGGGAAGGTTACAAATGGTGGTTCCATGATCCAGGGACATTGCAACTCTCATAAATACATGACAGTTTTCCAGCACCCGAATTTCGGTCAGATGACCACGAAGATGCTACAATGATTGTAAGTGTGAAAACTGTCAAAAGTCACTTTTTTCAGTGCCATTATAAATTTAAACAGTCACTAAACAAGTGGTTGTAATAGTTCCGTGTAGAGAACTATTGTAGTTCTTTGTAGGGACAATCGGTGGAGAATTGGCCTCATTGAAGAATGTGAAACATTTTTCATGCCATTCTTGTCTTTTGAAAGGGATGCATGTTCAGAAATGCCACAAATTAGAGATGGCCAGAAAAAAAACAAAACTGGTGGTTTCTTGCATTTGTCATACTACTTGAAATTGATAAACCATATGTTTGTTACTCTCTATGTAGTAAATCATTTTCCCAAAATGTCTGCTTCCGTTCTTTAACAACCTAAAGAGCAACAACCAAAAAGAACCAAATAGTTGGGCCAAAAATGTTGCCCTTTTGGTGATGTGATTGTCTGACTTGAAGGTACTCCAGAAAGTTGGGAAGCTGAGTTGTGGTTTCTGACCTCTCAAACATTGCCTAATGTGCAAAACAGAATCTGTCTTTAATGATAGAACTGCCTTTCTGCTACAAATATATAAGAAATAAGTAAAATATATATTTTTAAAAAAACCTGGTCTCTGGAGTTGTATTTTTGCAGTCATCACTATTATTTTATTGTCATTGTTTTAACTGGGTTTTAATTACGTTGCCTTTTATTATTGTATGTTTTAACCTGTGTTCGCCGCCCTGAGTCCTTAGGGAGAAGGGCGGCATATTAATTTTTGGAAATAAAATAAATAAAATAAATCACGATGTAAAAAAGACATTGAGACTCTAGAAAGAGTGCAGAGAAGAGCAACAGAGGAAATGATTAGGGGACTGGAACAGTTGCTGGAATTGGATGTGTCTATAGTGAAAAGAAGGACTAGGGATGACATGATAGCAGTGTTCCAATATCTCAGGGGCTGCCACAATGACGAGAAAGTCAAACTAGTCTGCAAACACCTAAAGGTAGGACAAGAAGCAATAGATGGAAACTAATCAAGGAGAGAAGCAACCTAGAACCTAAGTGAAATTTTGTGACAGAACAGTTAATCAGTGGGACAACTTGCCTCCAGAAGTTGTGAATGCTCCAACACTGGAAGTTTTTAAGAAGACATTGGACAACCATTTGTCTGAAATGGGATAGGGTTTCCTGCCTGAGCAGAGGGTTGGACTAGAAGACTTCCAAGGTCCCTTCCAGCTTCTCTGCTCTGCTCTGCTCTCCTATTCCTATGTTCTAACCTAGGCTTCCTGAGAAAGTATACAGCACAAACGTAGTCCCAAAAAACCTTTTATTGAGATGGCTGTGAATTATGGTCATTCACAGCCCATAATGATTCACAAACTCTGTGCAGAATCTGCTCGAGTTGACACAGTCATTCAGGGTAATGTTGATAAGCACCCACCTTTATCTTCCTTGAAACGCTGCCAGAGACTTAATTGCCAATTAGTTTTACAAGACCACACGTAGCACAGTGTCAAACAGAACTTCTCAGAGCTTGAACCGACTATATGAACTAATTGCTTCCTGCAAAGGCTCACCTCCGTTTGCTCCTCTTTTATGTCTTATGGGAGGGGCCAATCAACTCCAAGCCTTACTACCAAGTCACCCTTTTTTTCCTTAATTGTTCTTGCCTTCTGACAACTCTGCACATGCACACACTAGGAACAGGCTCACACTGTTCTTCTCCTTCACTGATGTCAGATTCCAGAGGCTCCAGAGGCAGCACATAATTACCAGATGGCCCTGGCTCCCTCTCTGCCTCTGACGCAGAGCCCTCGTGCGAGCCTTCCCCAGACTCCAGGACTGGCCCACGTTCCTCCCCAACCTCCTCACTGTCCGACTCTGCTGCTAGCTCCGCTGGCTGCCGATGGGACACAACATCCTATTCGTATTCCTGTTCTGTTCTGTTCTGTTCTGTTCTGTTCTGTTCTATTCTATTCTATTCTATTCTATTCTATTCTATTCTATTCTATTCTATTCTATTCTATTCTATTCTATTCTATTCTATTCTATCATTTAATTAGGTAGATAAGCCACAATATTATCTGTTTACAGGTAGTCCTCAATTTATGGCTACAGTTTAGGCCCAGAACATCTGTGACTAATAGTACAGTTGTTAAATGAATCACACAATCATTAAGTGAATCCTGCTTCCCCATTGACTTTGCTTGTCAGAAGCCCCTGGGAAAGTCATAAATGGTGATCATATGATCCCAGGAGGCTGCAAGCACCCAAACTTTGATCACATGACCTTAGGGACATTGCAATAGTCATAAGAGGGAGGACCAGTCTTTAGTTGCCTTTTTCAGCACTGTCCTAACTATGAACAGTCATTAAACAAATGTTATGACTGTTATGAGTCAAGGACTCTCTTTATTTGGAACTTGGCTTTATTGATACCGAAACTGATTAGAGCTATGCAGCATTTTAGTTTTTATCCCAAACAGGTGCTACAGAGTTCTTGGTATCTCTTTAAAATGATTGTTATGCTTGCTCTCCCATTTTTGGGGAACCAATCCAAAGGGCTGCACAGCCTTCTCATGTGAAAGCCACTGATTTAGCATTCCCTCTTCATGGAAATGATGGAAAATCGTTGTTAAAAGTCTGCTGCAATTACTGTATAATTCAAGGCAATGCAAGGAAAAATCCCACTGGCCTTGCTCAAATCCTGTTTTGCATTTGACCTTCCCTAAAGAAATGAACTTGTAGATTGTATGTGGACTCCCCATATGAATTACATCCCTGATCCTACAAAGGTATAAATCACTGGAAGGACCTGCTCTTGAAAAGCAGTGTTATATACAAAGTGAAGACTTCACACATTGTCTTTATTTCCAGGAATGCCTCT